GAGAAGAAGAAAAAAAAAAGAAAAAAAAAAGACGGGAGAACAGATGAAAAACAGAGCAAAAAAAAGAATAAAAATTAAAACAAAAGTTTTCTAAAAAAATGAAACAAAAGAAAAGATGAAAAACAGAGAAAGGGAAACAAAAACAGAGAAAGTGAAAAGAGGAGCAGCAGCAAAAAATTGAAAAAAGAAACCACGGTTCTAAAAAATTGAAAATAAATGAAAGAAAAAAAAAGATGAAAGAACGGCGTGAGAACAGATGAAAAACAGAAAAAAGTTAAAAAAGAGAAAGGGAAGCAAAAATAAATGAAAAATCACCTTTGTTCGCCGAGCTCACGGGTTCTCGTCGTCACCGAAATCGACGTTTCCTGTTTGTCGCGGGTTCTCGTCGTCACCAAGCTTGTCGTCCCCTGTTCGTCGCCGATTCTCGTCGTCACCGAGCTCCTCGTTCCCTGTTCGTCGCCACCAAACACGAAGAGAGACAACGAATTCGTGAAGAACCCTAGCTCCTGTAACAAGTTAGATTTGTTTTGGTTTCTTGGGTTTAAGTTTGAGTTGAGTTTCTACCCGTTTCTACCCGATAGCCGCAGTTAATGAACCATTCACCATGAAGTTCTGAGGTGATCACCTTCCCAGAGCACGCGAGGCACTCGAAGACGCACGCAGGCGCGCGCTTGGAGCAAGTGCAGCGCCCCACTCCCTATGCGGGGCGCTATTCCACTGTGCTGCACCGCCTTGCGCCCAAGGTGCGCGCCCGACACCGCTTTTGAAAACACTGAATGCAACTCCTAGTCTAGGCTAACCTGATTATTGAGTCTGTTATGTGACCTCCACCGCCAACACAATATATGATCTTACAACAAATCTTGAAGATTCTGCAATCTACAAAGGAATACTTTTCACTAGTAAAATTAAATATTATACTCTCCCACTATAAGACTTGATGTTAAGTTTTCTCTAACAAAGGAAGATTTAATGCCCGTCCATCAGACGGTTGTAAGATCTATTAGAGTATTATTTATTGTAGTAATAATTAATGTGATCTTGTTTTTAGGCAAGATTTCCTTAAGATATGATATTAAGATTAGGGTATTAAAGGTTTCATTTGATAGAGATGTTAATTTCGTTTCTTTTAATATAGAATTTAAGAGTTGATGTAAGGATTCGATTTGATCATATTAGTTATCTTTTTCTATACATTATGTTGTAAGCTTAATTAGAATGCAGACATTAATCAATAAAAATTGAGCTACGGAAATTCTGCCTATCGTGTGAATGGCTTGTGTTTGGCATGTGAAATGTCATAGGGTGTGAAGCCTTGGAGTGTGAAGCCCTTCATTGTGGAGCCCATTATTTGGGAATGAAGCCCTTGTTTTATGCTATACCTATACAATTATTATACCCCTCAATCAAAATCCATTCCACAAAAATTCTTAGCATTTATCATCTCATCCAGAGATCTCTATCATTCAAAACTACAAAAAGAATGAAAAAACTCCAAACCATCACAACCCCAATTTCCTATTCAGGTACTGTTTGTTCAGTGTTCTTAAGGCGCTAGCATCACTGCGCCTCATGCACTCTGCGATGCGGGGCAATGACGAAACGCATTGCATCTGATGTAGCAACACCTTTTGCGCCTTGCAAGTGACATCTGCTTCGTATAGGGTGCATATTAGGCATAATCACATATAGTTTTGTTCTTTAGCATTTCAATCCGGCCTTTATACCCAATGACTCATAACCCAAAAAGCAATATAAGACTGAAAGGCCCTTTTAGTAGTTCGATTGAGGACCATGAGTTCGCTTCAATATTAGTCTTGATTTAACTCTTGATTTGAAAACTTATGAGCTTCGCTCTATGTTGGATGTGCATAAGAAATTAACCTTACTTTGTGATTTCATAGCAGATATTGTTCATCTTGACATACTTTATGTGAAGCTCTGTAAACATACTCTTACGTGCTTGATAACCATCTTGAAATTTATGTGTGTGGTGTGCGCCTCGCTTCATTCGGGCACACGCTTAGCATTGAGCCTTACGCCTCGCACATGTAGGCGTAAACATACTTTGTGCCCTGCATTGCGCCTTGCACATTAATAACACTGTTCATTTTATAAACAGTAACTATGTTGTTCAACCCTTGAAAATTTTAATAGAGTGAACAGTAACCCATTCCCTGATCATCATTGCACTTATAGTCACTCTTGCATCCTTATTCGTAGTCATTGAGATTTGTTAGTTGCTATTCTATTTGTTAACCTCGGCTACCAATCAAGTACTTATCAAAGCTCTCCGATAAGATCCAACAATCAGTCCAAAATCATGTACAATTTGAAGCCCTCTGTCCATTTCCCATCACTAACATCTTCACCTTTTCTTTTCATTAATGAAATAACAAATTTAGCAAACATAGCACGTAATAACATCATCTTTCTAAAAATACAATTTGCTCATTTATAGCAGTGGATATTTGGACAAAGGAACTTCTTAAATGAAACAAAGTTAGCATGCTTGGTTATTTAGTAGTAATGGAACTCATTCATAAAGAGAGTCACAATAAACACACACTTCTAAGACATCATTCTACTTATATATTAGAAAAGTACAGGCTAGTACACAAGGCTCCAACCTTGAAGGGTTTGGAGAGAGCCAAATACCCACACTTTTATCAATTTTACGAGCTTGTTAAATTATTTGAGCCTTTGATCAATAGGTTATAAGGACCAAGCCTACGATCGATCCAAGCCTGACCTCAACTGTCTATTGTATGCCACAAATAAGATCAAGGAACAACAAGTTTCTTTGTTCAACTAACAGATAATTACGAATATTAACACCCCAAATAGTAATTAGGTTTCTGTTTCTTATTTCTTATACATCAACTCATTATTTAACTCCTAGGCGTTGTTTTAAATATTGGATATATCAGACAGCCAAAACTCACACGGGATTGCGAAAATCAAGGATATATCAGGGGATATGTATTACATATCGGGGTTTCATATTGAATGATGATTATACATAACATAACATTCTACTATGTAATCTACGCATTAATGAACTCTAAACATAAGGAATTACATCATGATATATGTTTAGAATGACTAACCAATTGTAGAAGGGACCGAGACAGAGAGAAAGGGAGGGTGGCGGAGAGGGGGGAGGAAAACTGACCATCAACTCCTCTGGTTGCACTTGAGATTGACGGCTGCACGTGAGGTCAGAGAAGAGAACGGCAAATTGGGAATATGAGCTCCGGTAGTTCGATACGTGTTATATTTCAAATTTGGATACAGGTTGGGAACCCAAACCCAAACACATCCATTTAGCAAAAAGACCCAATATTTGTCGATATTTCGAATCTAAAGTATTGGCCGATATCCCCGATATATCCTGATATATTAAGAAAATTTTCTCAAAAGCAAAAAATCGCTTTAAAAGCATAAATATCCTTGCTGAAACCTGTCAAACATGATACGACTGCCGATATCTCGATATATTAGTTGATATTTTATGCATTGCTTCTAGGACATTCTGCATTCGGAAATCTAGTTGCATCTAACAATCAAATTTCTATTTGTAATTCTCACTCATATGACAGATAGCTATACATTGAAGTTCTCTTTAGCATATATGTCTGAGAGGCAAATCTTTTCCCAGAGATGGATAAATATTTTGCATGGATAAAAATACATAACTTACAAAACAAGACACTGCTACACACATCAACTCTTAAAGACCATAGAAAAGAGAAGTATCATGTCGAAAACATGTGTTCAGCATATGTCTGAAATGATGACTTCTCGATAGAAGTGTTTATGCTAAAATTATTGCATGAAGGTACATTGTGAATGAAAAGTTGTCCACCTTTACTGAGAAAGCAACATATATTCCACGAACATGACTCATTCGAGCCAAAAATGATAAGCAGCTACCCAGCTATCATTTTCGAACTTGTGAGAAGCAAACTTGTGAGATCTCATCAGAGAAATTTTCTAAGCAGCAGGAAGAGATGTGAAGATCTTATCAGTTCAGCTCCAGACTTCAGCTCCAAATTGGAGAATTGAGTGGCTAATTATGTGAAAAGCAGCCGTGGTTAAGAGGAAGCTTCCAACAGAAATTGCAGGATTCCCAAGATATGATTTTAAATAGGCCAAAATCCACAGTATGTGGAAAGCGCTATCCTACATAACATCAGTTTACCACTTGAACTGATTAATGTCCAGATGAGCAATTTATTCTTCATTTCTCTACTAATGAGATAAAATGTAGGAAACAGGGGATAGTTCAGATTATGATTTCCTCTGATTCCAAAACAATCATTATTTCTACTATCTTTCATGTGATATGTTAAGATGTTAGACGTCCAGAACTGTGAGAGACAGAAATATGAGGATTCTGTCATCAGTTATCCAGTGACATACCATATTTTGTTCCATGTTCGTCATCAGGACTGAACAGTTGTAAAAGAAGCACATTATACAGCAAGAAAAAATCAACATTCAGATTAGTTTGTCTATTAATGCAGGAGAATAAATGCTTCATCCAAATTCCAGACAAAAATCAGACTGATTTGAAACAGTACAAAAGTTCAATGAAGCAAAAGATACTATACCCGATAAGTCAAAGTAGTTCACGTGACTTGATTCATAAAGAATGAGTTGTTACAAAGGAACTAAACTGTCCTTAGTTGATTTTATACAAATCCAATCCATATACATTTTGCTTTTACTCATATATGAAAATTCTATTGAAAAATGTACTATAACCTAAAACCTTCTTTTCCTCAAACATAATTTACTGGTAAATAGAGCAAAGTTGTGCCTTCATATAATAATTTATCCCCTAATGAGGTACAGGCCATTGCCACTACCCAAAGTTACCCAAAACTTCACTTTTGAGGCGTACTTCTATCTTATACATCCAATAAACAAGTACCATAAACAGACAGAACAGAACCAGCCAAGCATCATATATATTTAGTAGATATTTCTAATACCTTTTTCTTCTTCACTGGCTTAAGGATCTTGATTATGCACTTCTCATTGTTGGTTGTGTTTATGCCTTCAAAAACCTCACTGTATTTCCCTCTTCCAACTTTCCGAACAACCTCGTAATCATCCTGGTCACTACATTACAGAACACAAACTCGTTATAACCCAACTCCCTCAAAAGTAATTAACATTAAAATATGATACATCTGCTTCTAATTGCTCAAAGATCAGATACAAACAAATATAACAAAATATATTTTAGTTGCAACAGCTTTCATTTAAATAGAGGGCAACATCCATTTCCAAGATTCGGAAAGAAAACTGGGTATTGAGTTAGCACTATCAACAAATATGCTACCCTCGTTCCAGGCCAACTAGACGATCTTCACATGAACAATCTTTTTGTGTGCAAAGGAAACCGATAAAAGAGACGCAAACTGCATAAGAAGAATTGAAATTTCAACACCAATATGTACCAACAAATAGAAAGTCACGTGTCATGGAAATATCCTAAGCTCAGATATTCATCGCATAAGCAATAATAATAATAATAATAAAGCGAGTAAATTCAATTCGTTAAAACATTTTATACTTCTGGATAAAATTCAAAAGGAACGAACTTCCAATTACAGCAAATCTGAGTATTCATCCCAAAAAATTATTCATTAATCTAATCCGCATCAAACGAAG